ACTGTATTCCTGTGAGCCCCAACTGTTTCATGGCAGGTTAAACAGAAAAAGATAATGTCTCCCTTTCACTGAGCATCTCTCTCTCTCTCTCTCTCTCTGCTGTACTATACTGTGTGTGTTTCCGCATGGCTGGGCCCTCAGCTCTTGTTAGTGTCACACCCTAAGATGTCTGGGCCAGCCAGCGGATACTAATGAGGGCCTCAGTGGGGCTGCATGGCGGCACCACTCTCTGCCCAGACTACTACCACCACACATGGCCCAGACTAGTACCACCAGACACGTCCCAGACTACACACAGCAAAGACTACTACCCCCACACACTGCCCAGACTACCAGATTAGTTTCACCACACACTGCCCAGACTACCAGATTAGTTTCACCACACACAGCCCAGACTACTACCACCACACACTGCCCAGACTACCAGATTAGTTTCACCACACACTGCCCAGACTACCAGAATAGTTTCACCACACATGGCCCAGACTACCAGATTAGTTTCACCACACACTGCCCAGACTACCAGAATAGTTTCACCACACATGGCCCAGACTACCACCACCACACACTGCCCAGACTACCAGATTAGTTTCACCACACACTGCCCAGACTACCAGAATAGTTTCACCACACATGGCCCAGACTACCACCACCACACACTGCCCAGACTACCAGATTAGTTTCACCACACACTGCCCAGACTACCAGATTAGTTTCACCACACACAACCCAGACTACTACCACCACACACTGCCCAGACTACCAGATTAGTTTCACCACACATGGCCCAGACTACCAGATTAGTTTCACCACACACTGCCCAGACTACCAGAATAGTTTCACCACACATGACCCAGACTACCAGATTAGTTTCACCACACACTGCCCAGACTATCAGAATAGTTTCACCACACATGGCCCAGACTACCACCACCACACACTGCCCAGACTACCAGATTAGTTTCACCACACACTGCCCAGACTACCAGAATAGTTTCACCACACATGGCCCAGACTACCACCACCACACACTGCCCAGACTACCAGAATAGTTTCACCACACACTGCCCAGACTACTACCACCACACACTGCCCAGACTACCAGATTAGTTTCACCACACACTGCCCAGACTACTGCCCACACACTACCAGATTAGTTTCACCACACACGGCCCAGACTACTACCACCACACACTGCCCAGACTACCAGATTAGTTTCACCACACGCTGCCCAGACTACCAGATTAGTTTCACCACACACTGCCCAGACTACCAGATTAGTTTCACCACACACGGCCCAGACTACCAGAATAGTTTCACCACACATGGCCCAGACTACTACCACCACACACTGCCCAGACTACCAGATTAGTTTCACCACACACTGCCCTGACTACCAGATTAGTTTCACCACACACAGCCCAGACTACTACCACCACACACTGCCCAGACTACCAGATTAGTTTCACCACACACGGCCCAGACTATCAGATTAGTTTCACCACACACGGCCCAGACTACTACCACTAGATATGGCTGTGTGCGTGTGCGTGGTGTGTGCAACTGTGCATTTGTGCGTACGTGTGTGGTTTGATGGTCACCTACTGTATGTATCGCTCCTACCCGTCTATCGATCATTAGCTGGAGAGCGCATCCAGGACAGCTACCATATGGCCGTTCTATCCCTGTTGCTTTAGGGGCCCTGCTCTCCCGCCATCGTTGTTCTAGGGCCGCGTTCGAACTTTGCCAGAGTGGAAGAGATGGATCGCATGAATCACTCCAGTCAACTGCACAGACTACCAGAATAGTTTCACCACACATGGATCACACTACCAGATTAGTTTCACCACACACTGCCCAGACTACCAGATTAGTTTCACCACACGCTGCCCAGACTACCAGATTAGATTCACCACACACGGCCCAGACTACCAGAATAGTTTCACCACACACGGCCCAGACTACCAGATTAGTTTCACCACACACGGCCCAGACTACCAGATTAGTTTCACCACACACGGCCCAGACTACCAGAATAGTTTCACCACACACGGCCCAGACTACCAGAATAGTTTCACCACACACGGCCCAGACTACCAGATTAGTTTCACCAGACACTGCCCAGACTACTACCACTAGATATGGCTGCCACTCTCCACTCTTTTTCTGCATTTTAGACGCTTCAGTGCCAGCACTGAAACTACATGCTACAGAATCAGAACATCCACTGAATTATTTATTTCAATTAATAACTAAGTTTCTAACACTATCTCTCATCTCTCAGTTCATCTTTCTCCACTAGCCTCCAGTGAACTCAGTGCATATGGCACATACAGTCAAACAGTACAAAAAAAGTACACATTCAGTCAGTCATGTACGAATAATATCCACTTCCCAAAGGTTATGCACCACTTCCCTCCTCTCAGCTCGCTCCATGGATAAAACAAATCATAGCTCCAAACACATATCACTCACTATTAAGCAAGACGTTTCTCTGTGAATAACAAAAGACCCTTGATATTAACAAGTCAGCTCAAATGCGCAAACTCTCACTCTACCCTAAATCTAGGATGAGAATCTTTCCTCACCCACTTTGCAACATGAAACAGACAAATGTTGACAATACACAGCACATACAGTAGGCCTATACGTACACATGTGAGACATGTAAAAGCAGAAGGACGAACCATGGGGTTTGTGTCATGGGGTTCGTAGGGTGTTTGGTTCAGGGCTGAGCTGAGCTGTCCTGCCATAGGCCCTGTCTGTCTGCCCGCCCATATGAAATGTGGAAAGTGTGGAGGACAGCAAGAAATCTGTGTACATTTCCATACATGGGCTTCACACTCACTGTCAGCTGTTTCCCTGACATTGAGAGGAGAGGATGAGGGAGGGCAGAGGGGTGAGATCAGGTAGGGTGCCATGCCAGCCTGGCTTTCTCCAAACCACCCTGCTTGCTAGGCTGTGACCCACTGCAGAAAATGACATTTAACTTCATCTCCCTCAATCAAATTATGTTTAGAGGACGTGGACCTTGGATTGACCGCGCAGTAAGAAAGGCCTTGTACGCACAAGCTAAATTCATAAATGAATAAGTGATAAACGGATTTAAAAAAGGTAACACCAAAAGGTTACCCATAAATACATAGATAAACAAGACTACATAATCACTAAGACATAAAAACACATCACAAGGTTAAAATTCCCTTCGCCGCTCTTTAAATGCTTATCTTGAGCAGAATGCGAGAGTGGAAAAAGAGGACGAAAAGAGAGGAAAAGAGAAAATGGGAGAAATGAACATAACATGATCTTTGTATAAGCAGCAGAGTTAGCTTATTATGCCAGCACTAATTTCCCCCCAGGAGCTCATTAAAGTCTTGAGAGTGAGCAGCAGTAAGAGAAGAGTGGAGGAAGCCCCCAATCACCAGACTGAATCTCTCTTTACAGTGGATCAGCGGCCAGGAAGACAGCACAATATCACTGGGAAAACACTGTCACACACACATGCAGAACAACGTTGGCTCTCGTACACATGAACACACACATGCAGTACATACTGTATACACACACGCACGCACGCACACACGCACACGCTACATCTTGATTATCACTTACTCCAACTTTTTGGAGTAAGTGATATGGAAGATGGGGTGATGGGTGGAGACGGTCTTAGATGTTATGCCAACTAGGTTTTAGCAAATGAATCGCAATGAGAGTCTCGGATTAGGTTTAAGAAAAATAAAAGTACCATTTCAATTTTATTGGATCAAAGAAAATAAAAAACTATAGATAAATTGATTGATAAATAAAAGGGAGGATTTATACAGTTAATAATCATAATAAAATTCCTTTATAGTTTTTCTGGTATAGTTTCAGTTTAGCCACATTTCGACCGAAACAAGAACAAGAAGCATCAGTAGTTAAGGGCAGCCTCATAATCCACTCACAATCACAAAATGTTAACATTGAAATACGGAAATACGATATTCAACCAGATTCTGTTAATCATAGATTATATCATATAGAAACTTTTAGATTTTATATATATATCCAGTATATAGCAAGAGTCTTTTAGAGTTTCAGCAATCCTCCAACCAATGCAAAGCAGGGACATCTTTACTGGGAGAAGAAGGTAGAAAGAAGAGCAGCAGAGTGGAGGATAAAACAACAGCACAGGAGAGGAGGAGTATTGAACAGAGGATCAATATATGTGAAGAACAAGGAATGGGGAGGAGTGATGAGTGAGGAGGATTCAATGGTGTAGTCCAGTATCTGTTTGGACTTGTAATGACATTGGAGGTGGAAGGGATGTAGAAAATATATTGTCAGACTGTACACAGACATATAGAATAAAAAAATGGCGTCACAGAAAATGGATGGGGATGGATGGCCATACGGTATGTGGAAAAATGGTTGATGCAGCTCTTTGACACTGTAGGTAATACAGAGACATTCCTCAAAGCAGATGCAGAAAGAGATGATGTGGGGAAAGGGGTGGACTTGGTCTCTAGTTTTACTCTCTTTAATGTTTTTAAATGATAGTATTTCTGAGGATAAAAAAGTTTTGGCTGTCCAGAGCTGTAGTCAGGCAGCGGGGAGTGGGGTGTGGAGAGCCATGCCACCGCAACTTATAGGAGAGAGAGTAGAGAGACAGAGCGAGAGAGAGAGAGAGAGAGAGAGAGAGAGAGAGAGAGAGAGAGAGAGAGAGAGAGAGAGAGAGAGAGAGAGAGTAGACGAGAGAAGAGAGCGGAGAGAGAGAGAGAGAGAGAGAGAGAGAGAGAGCGAGAGAGAGAGAGAGAGAGGAGGAGAGATGCGAGAGAGAGAGCGACGAGAGAGAAGAGAGAGAGAGAGAGAGGAGAGAGAGAGCAGAGAGAGAGAGAGGAGATCTCTCTCTCTCTCTCTCTCGCTCTCCTCTCTCTCTTCTCGATCTCTCTCTCTTCTCTCTCTCCTCTCTCTCTATCTCTCTCTCTCTCTCCTCTCTCAGTCTCCCAAGCTGAGAAGCATTAGTCCCTCCAGTCTCCTTGTCTTCTACATGGGAAGACCAGGAACCCAGAGAATGTGGAGTACTTCCAGCCCCCCATGAGGTTTCCTCTCTCCAGTTTGAGGTAGGCTCGGTCACCCTTCTCCATTTGGATCAGCACTCCGTTACTGGCAGCCTCACGAGTAACATCCTGGTCCCCAGCAAAGGCTGAGATCACAGGCCATCCGTTATGCATCAGGCTCACCTACAGGACAGACAGGACAGATATTACAGTTAGATATGGTAAAGTACACATACATTTCTACCAACCCACCCACACACACACTAGAACACAGTGAACACAGACATGAACATCACATAATTTCACGCATTCAGATTCATACATTGTACAGTTCACCCTCCCTGTGCTGAGTTTAAGATCAAAGTTGAAAAGCACCTGCAGGTTGAACACCCCTTGACTCAAACATGCCCTTAACATTCAAACAGCAGCCTCTAAATCACGCATAAAAAAGCATAAAAGTGATCAAAACACTTATCCTAGGCCTTGGTTTGTACCAGCAAAGCTTGAGAGAGAGAGAGACAGAGAGAGAGAGAGAGGACAGAGCAGCCTCTGTTCAGTGTGCTAAATGAGTCCACAGTGAGAAGGCAGGCAGGGAGGTGGACTGGAGGAGGGCCACAGCTCTACATCACTCCCACCAGCCAGGGCCCAGGGGAGGCTCTCTCAGCTCTCACCCAGACCCATCCACAGTGAGGAGGGGAGAGGGAACCTCGTTCAGCTGGATGAGAGGGTCAAACTGGGGAAAATCCCTCCTCTGTGGCAGTGATGTATGGGACTAATAAACGGATGACAGAACAGTGGCAGGATGGACCTGTTCTCAGCCGAGTAATGAAGGGGAGGCGGCTAGGGAGAAGGGTGAGTGGTGAACACAGACTCACCGACTGACTGAGCACTGTGTTCATTGGGAAGGGGGGGTATTCACAAGCCCCTTCCCAAAAACACCATCGCTCAATCACTCCCAGCCAGCCCCTGCAATTATAGCACATGGATGTGTAAATGGAATAATGGCTGGTGCATGGTGTCAGCATTCCATTGAGCTGCTGAATTCATTAATACGTAAGCACCCAATTAAGCCCAGTGCGAGAAGATTTAGATATACATTTGGTGAGTGGGTTTCCGCCCACAGTTTAATGCAGCACTTAGCTGTAATGAAAAAGCAGACATCCTCATCTCACATAATTTCCTGTCCAGACAGACAGATGACAGCAGTTACATAACAACAGACCACTTTCTTCTCTTCACTGGGTGAAGGCAGACACAGTGACTGGCCAGTGGGAAGCAAGGTTATCTTTAAAAATGTCATGTTTTTGGGAGAAGTATGCTTTTAAAGGTGCTACATATAGGATTATTTTGCATTTTTGCATTGGAATTTCAGAAAATGTCCATAATATATCTGCCGCTATTATTGGAATGATAGTGTTTCACAGTATTACTTACCCGCCAGTGTTGTGATTGGCTGTAATATTCGCCTATTGATTTCTCCTGCCGGAGCAGCATCTGTTGTCAAACTGGGAAAGCTGTTCTGACTTTGTGGATGTGTTATCTAGTGGAAATCGCACATTTCCAGGTTCTAAAATTCTACGCTGTTCGCTCAATTTCAGTTTATGTGAGAAAACAAGCACTGAATAGTGTAAGGAATCATTGTAACATCTAAAACAAAAAAACAACAAATATCATTTTTACAGCTGTTTGAAGCTGGTGGACCAAAACCGCTGTTTGAAGCTTCAAACAGTTGTAAAATCCTATTTTTTGTAATTGAAAATATATTTCATAGCGATTTAGACGGTACAATGATTCCCTACACTACTCAGTGCTTGTTTTCTTGTCAGTTTGAATGACTGTTTGCCTGCTCTATCTTATTTGGATTGAAAATAAGCTAGCCCGCTAACCCGAGTCTAGTACTTTTCAGACCGGGCTAGTAATAAATCTGTCCAATTAGCCCGCCGGTTAGTTGGCACAGACTTTGGACCTGGGCTAGTAAAAACTGTGGTCTGCTAGCCCCGCTGGCCTGGCTGGCCACTGCCCAAAATCACAGTTCCATTCCCACTAGGGACTCATACTAAACAAAAGTTATTGATTAGTTGGTTAATGTATTATTTCAGGGGGTTTGTACTTGGGGCTCATACAGTATGTAACACTCTATGACGATGGAGTTTGCTTATACAAATGGTAGCTTCTGAAATTAGAATTGTGCTTCTGTTTGTCCTTGAAGTGCTGAAACAATCTGTTCTTGTGCCAACTCTATGAAGTCTGGATGGTTATTTACATTCAAAAGTAATAGAATGAGGAGGAGGTAAGACATGTATTTATGTCCAGTGGATTCACTTCTCATTCCCCTGGTCTCCATGAGATCCACACAGATTTGAATGAGGAGGTGAGATATTAATGGATGTTTCAAGATGTAATGCCTGTATTCCTCCTGTATCCCTGTATTCCTCCTGTATCCCTGTATTCCTCCTATATCCCTGTATTCCTCCTGTATCCCTGTATTCCTCCTTCAATGGGAAAATACTGGAGTTGTAAGACAATCCTGTTCCACAAAATACATGACCATCCTTCTAGAAAGACAATGGAAAGTTCTTAATCTCCATTTCAAACAATCCATATATATATTCTGTCTGCATCACTTCCAATCCCCCATGTTTATATATATATATATATATATATATATATATATATATATATATATATATATAGTGGTGAGAACAAGTATTTGATACACTGCCGATTTTGCAGGTTCTCCTACTTACAAAGCATGTAGAGGTCTGTTATTTTTATCATAGGTACACTTCAACTGTGAGAGACGGAATCTAAAACAAAAATCCAGAAAATCCCATTGTATGATTTTTAAGTAATTCATTTGCATTTTATTGCATGACATAAGTATTTGATCACCTACCAACCAGTAAGAATTCCGGCTCTCACAGACCTGTTAGTTTTTCTTTAAGAAGCCCTCCTGTTCTCCACTCATTACCTGTATTAACTGCACCTGTTTGAACTCGTTACCTGTATAAAAGACACCTGTCCACACACTCAATCAAACAGACTCCAACCTCTCCACAATGGCCAAGACCAGAGAGCTGTGTAAGGACATCAGGGATAAAATTGTAGACCTGCACAAGGCTGGGATGGGCTACAGGACAATAGGCAAGCAGCTTGGTGAGAAGGCAACAACTGTTGGCGCAATTATTAGAAAATAGAAGAAGTTCAAGATGACGGTCAGTCACCCTCGGTCTGGGGCTCCATGCAATATTTCACCTCGTGGGGCATCAATGATCATGAGGAAGGTGAGGGGTCAGCCCAGAACTACACCGCAGGACCTGGTCAATGACCTGAAGAGAGCTGGGACCACAGTCTCAAAGAAAACCATTAGTAACACACTACGCCGTCATGGATTAAAATCCTGCAGCGCACGCAAGGTCCCCCTGCTCAAGCCAGCACCTGTCCAGGCCCGTCTGAAGTTTGCCAATGACCATCTGGATGATCCAGAGGAGGAATGGGAGAAGGTCATGTGGTCAGATGAGACAGAAATAGAGTTTTTTGGTCTAAACTCCACTCGCCATGTTTGGAGGAAGAAGGAGGATGAGTACAACCCCAAGAACACCATCCCAACCGTGAAGCATGGAGGTGGAAACATCATTCTTTGGGGATGCTTTTCTGCAAAGGGGACAGGACGACTGAACCGTATTGAGGGGAGGATGGATGGGGCCATGTATCGCGAGATCTTGGCCAACAACCTCCTTCCCTCAGTAAGAGCATTGAAGATGGGTCGTGGCTGGGTCTTCCAGCATGACAACGACCCGAAACACACAGCCAGGGCAACTAAGGAGTGGCTCCGTAAGAAGCATCTCAAAGTCCTGGAGTAGCCTAGCCAGTCTCCAGACCTGAACCCAATAGAAAATCTTTGGAGGGAGCTGAAAGTCCGTATTGCCCAGCGACAGCCCCGAAACCTGAAGGATCTGGAGATGGTCTGTATGGAGGAGTGGGCCAAAATCCTTGCTGCAGTGTGTGCAAACCTGGTCAAGACCTACAGGAAACGTATGATCTCTGTAATTGCAAACAAAGGTTTCTGTACCAAATAATAAGTTCTGCTTTTCTGATGTATCAAATACTTATGTCATGCAATAAAATGGAAATTAATTACTTAAAAATCATACAATGTGATTTTCTGGATTTTTGTTTTAGATTCCGTCTCTCACAGTTGAAGTGTACCTATGATAAAAATGTCAGACCTCTACATGCTTTGTAAGTAGGAGAACCTGCAAAATCGGCAGTGTATCAAATACTTGTTCTCCCCACTGTATATACACACATACATATATACATATATATATATATATATATATATATATATATATATAACAATATACATATATACATACCTACATATACATACATACACATACAAACAGTGAGGGAAAAAAGTATTTGATCCCCTGCTGATTTTGTATGTTTGCCCACTGACAAAGACATGATCAGTCTATCATTTTAATGGTAGGTTTATTTGAACAGTGAGACAGAAAAACAGAATAACAAAACAAAAAATTGATTTGCATTTTAATGAGGGAAATAAGTATTTGACCCCTCTGCAAAACATGACTTAGTCCTTGGTGGCAAAACCCTTGTTGGCAATCACAGAGGTCAGACGTTTCTTGTAGTTGGCCACCAGGTTTGCAAACATCTCAGGAGGGATTTTGTCCCACTCGTCTTTGCAGATCTTCTCCAAGTCATTAAGGTTTCGAGGCTGACGTTTGGCAACTCGAACCTTCAGCTCCATCCACAGATTTTCTATGGGATTAAGGTCTGGAGACTGGCTAGGCCACTCCAGCACCTTAAATGTGATTCTTCTTGAGCCACTCCTTTGTTGCCTTGGCCGTGTGTTTTGGGTCATTGTCATGCTGGAATACCCATCCACGACCCATTTTCAATGCCCTGGCTGAGGGAAGGAGGTTCTCACCCAAGATTTGACGGTACATGGCCCTGTCCATCGTCCCTTTGATGCGGTGAAGTTGTCCTGTCCCCTTAGCAGAAAAACACCCCCAAAGCATAATGTTTCCACCTCCATGTTTGATGGTAGGGATGGTGTTCTTGGGGTCATAGGCAGCATTCCTCCTCCTCCAAACACGGCGAGTTGAGTTGATGCCAAAGAGCTCGATTTTGGTCTCATCTGACCACAACACTTTCACCCAGTTCTCCTCTGAATCATTCAGATGTTCATTGGCAAACTTCAGACGGGCCTGTATATGTGCTTTCTTGAGCAGGGGGACCTTGCGGGCGCTGCAGGATTTCAGTCCTTCACGGCGTAGTGTGTTACCAATTGTTTTCTTGGTGACTATGGTCCCAGCTGCCTTGAGATCATTGACAAGATCCTCCCGTGTAGTTCTGGGCTGATTCCTCACCGTTCTCATGATCATTGCAACTCCACGAGGTAAGATAATGCATGGAGCCCCAGGCCGAGGGAGATTGACAGTTCTTTTGTGTTTCTTCCACTTTTGTCACCTTCTCACCAAGCTGCTTGGCGATGGTCTTGTAGCCCATTCCAGCTTTGTGTAGGTCTACAATCTTGTCCCTGACATCCTTGGAGAGCTCTTTGGTCTTGGCCATGGTGGAGAGTTTGGAATCTGATTGATTGATTGCTTCTGTGGACAGGTGTCTTTTATACAGGTAACAAGCTGAGATTAGGAGCACTCCCTTTAAGAGTGTGCTCCTAATCTCAGCTCGTTACCTGTATAAAAGACACCTGGGAGCCAGAAATCTTTCTGATTGAGAGGGGGTCAAATACTTATTTCCCAAATTAAAATGCAAATCAATTTCTAACATGTTTTTGTTGTTATTCTGTCTCTCACTGTTCAAATAAACCTACCATTAAAATTATAGACTGATCATTTCTTTGTCAGTGGGCAAACGTACAAAATCAGCAGGGGATCAAATACTTTTTTCCCTCACTGTACATACATACATACATATCCTTTTTAAAAAATATATTCCACTTTATTACTTTCCAACCCCACCACCCTTTCCCTAATTGGAGTAAACTAGTGAACAACAATGCTTAGGCCTCTACTTCCAGCTTATACTTACTATATACATTTTATGGACACAGTCAATTTTACAATAATTATATTTTGTTTGTTTTTTCTCCTGAACTTCTTCTACTCTCAACCTCTCCGATCATTTTCATGATGTCCATCCGGTTTGCTTCTATATGCCATATCTTTCTAACTGTGCTCTTTCACAAAAGCTCCCAACCTACAACCTATATACTTATTATGGACACAGTATGCTTACATTATTAGTTATCTTGTTATTAGTTGTTGTTAGTTGTTATTAGTCCCATCCTTCAACTCCATTCAACACCACCCATCTATCTCTTAACACCATCCATATAGGAGATCTATTTGCCATATATTTTTCAACTGTACTGTGATGTTTTACAAAAGTTCTGAACCTTTCTATTCTCATTGTTTCTACAGATTGTAAATTGAAAATAAACCCCCACTCCCTTTGTCTCCCCATGGCAAACAGAAGCTCTAAGGCAATCAAACAGTGGGAGTTTGAACATAGCAGTTGTGGCTATGTTGGACTAGTGTATCAGAGCTGAACTGAGCTGTGAATCTTCTTCTCTTTATTATTTGGTTTATATGGGAGGATGATATACGTTTCTGGTGCAAATCTTTATATTTGTCTTTTGTAAAAAAAAAATGATTGACAGTGAAATGTATTTAGTGTGCTATTTAGTTGCTTGAGTAAGTTGTCTGTAATTTGTACTTGTTTATGGTTTAGTTGGTGTCAATGACATGAGAGGTGAATACAGTTTGACAGAGCTTTTCATTTTGCTTGCCTGGTTTGTTTTCAACTAATTAATTCAGCTTCCAATAAGAGATGAATAACAGAATGTGATACTGAAGCCCTATGGATTTCACGGCATAATTAGACCATGATTTAATTAGTGAAAGATACACTCTAAGATGGGCTGGTTTTAAAAGCCACGTTGTCCATGTTAAATGTTATTTAAAGAGGGTTACATCTATTCAAGTGTATTCACTAATTTAATGCAATCAAAGGATTACTCTATTTGTGTGGCTTGGGAAAAATTAGTTGTCAGTCGATGCTCGATGGATTTGCGCTGCACAATATGTACAAGTAACTGCCAAAACAAAAGAAACACCAACATAAAGTGTCTTAATAGGGTGTTGGGCCACCACGAGCCCCCAGAACAGCAATGCACCTTGGCATATATTATACAAGTGTCTGGAACTCTATTGGAGGGATGTGACACATTCTTTCACAAGAAATTCAATCATTTGGTGTTTTGTTGATGATGGTGGAAAACACTGTCTCAGGCGCAGCTCCAGAATCTTCCATAAGTGCTTAATTGGGTTAAGATCTGGTGACAGACTGACAGACACGTTATACTCCTATGCTCCTTTGAGACCACTCTTTCAAAGTCAATGAGATTTCTTCTAGCCATGGTAGCCAAAATAATGGGCAACTGGGCATTGTTATACATGGCCCTAAGCCTGATGGGATGTTAATTGCTTAATTAACTCAGGAACCACACCTGTGTGGAAGCACCTGCTTCAATATAGGCCTACTTTGTATCCCTAATTTACTGAAGTGTTTCCTTTATTTTGCCAGTTACTTGTTTGTGTATATTGTTTAAAGTAACCATTGATATTATCAACCAAGTAACTTTGTTCAAAATATATTTTTGGTCTGTTTGGTTTTGGTCTAGTTGGACCAGTTTGGTCTTCACCTGCGGTCAAATGCAGCCGCCAAGCCACGCAGCAGGGAGAGCGATTCTACGCTGCCGCTGTCCAGGGTCCTGAAGCCACTCCTGTAGCTACACTGGCTAACTGTCTGCCACTGCTCCTAATTGGCTCCATACCCTTATCGATTCATTATGATTCAGTTGGTGACTTTCATCTGCAAACACCCCTTTTCTCTGGGTAATTAGTCGAATGACATCTCACAAATCTACAAATTATTTCTAGAGGAATAATTTTTCAGTTTAGGCCTAATATGAGGTCTACCAGCGGGTGTTCGCAGTCTCTCCCTCCCCTTTCTCTTCCTCCCTCCCGCTCAGTGACGGCACGCACACACACACACAGACACAGACACAGACACACACAGACACAGACACACTTGAAATAAACGGGAGCAAAGTCTTCAGTATTGATTCAGAGCACTGACCTGGATCGTTTGGCGATTATACACTTTGACCACGTGGAAATTAAAACTGTAAATCCCTTTGCGCGGGGCGATGAAATTGCTCCGCTCCTCATCGAAATTCTTACCAACGTTTACAAGTATCTAGGGAAGATAGAAAGAGTGTGAAGAGGGAAAAGACACTAACATCAAAGGCACTTGTCAGTCACATAAAGGAACTCACGCAATACACAATGACACTGCATCTTATAGGACTAGGTAGCAGATGACATTTGGCTATAACTTCGTTAGTTTCAAATGAAGACAATTATAGAAACCAAGTTAATCAATTTTGGAATGAATCCAGCTATGAAATTCTGGGGCTCAAAGGTCTAATTTTATTTAAATTTAATTGAAAAGCCATTTGGTGGCTATTAACCTTTTCAGATATGGAGTAGCATGGAGTAAGACTTCACCCCCCTGACCTGGTATTTAATTATTTGGAGAGATGTCAGACTTCATTTCATATCGTCAAAAGGAACTTAAATATTTAAAGGCTGACTACTTCTACCAGCCTTTATCTATAAATCTACTCTCTATCTGAAACAGTGAATCTCCATTCTCTACCTCATGGATAGAGAGCTTTTTATCAATTTTCAACACCAGTCATCCAAAACCCCTCCCGCCACATTCGCTCTACATTAGCCTACCAGGTACAGTATGATATAACAGACAGACAGGTCAGTGAAAGTTACCTGGTCAAAGTAGATGACCATAGTCCGGTTACTCATCTCCGAGGGCTCGTGGTTGGTATTTCTCACGGCTGAAAAAGCCACTTTGGCGCTCCCGGAGCGCACCGATATCCCGAGAGCAGTCCCAGTGGGATCTGAAGTTGGGTTGGAGTCGCAAACGACCAGACATTTCCCCTCGAGCACGATTGGTTCCGTCTCGTTCTGAGCGTTCACTAGAGTCACTAGCCACACTGCACCCAGTAATACCGTCAACATTATGGCAACTTCACTCTGCACTTCGTGGCTGTATCCTGCTATTCTTATTATTTTCAGCCAAATTCAGTCTTTCCAAATGACAAACTCCTTTTCCTTTCTTGAATTATAGCTATCCTTGTGTATTTCTAAATCTTGGAAAGGTCAAAGACAGGTTTGGTTTTCCCGTTTCTTTTTTAAATTATGGAGAGTCCCCTTTACCCAGTCGTTCCACGTGTTAACTTATTTTTTCCCCCCCTTTCAGCTCAAGCCTCCCCGCCTTCTTGTCTCACTCCGTAATCGAATAACCAGTCGAGAGCGGTACGAGGCCCTTGTCGAGTTGAAGCGCAGTTGAATACATAGCGCGGGGGTCCGTCTGCTTGCGCCCTGAATTATTGATATGTGTGATATTAGAGCTGAAACACAAAGGCACGGAAGCGCAATGCTCCCGCCCCGCTCGTTTTCAGCAGACCACTCCCTCCGGCCCCCAATCACAGATTAGCGCATCTCCAGATTTCCAATCGGCTCGCTCGAGCCCGCCTCCCCACCACGTGACGGTGGCGGAGTAGTTTTCCCGCTCCGGAGGTATTTTGCAGGTGGACTCGGCTCGAGCAGGCACCAGAGAGGATGATGACACCCCAATGTTCGAGGAAGAGGAGAACCTACTCAGACCACCAATTATCTTGTCATAATCACTTTGATTTTGGATGCTGTTAAGAATTGTCAATGAAGAAGGAATAATAGCAGGAGGAACATCTAACATCCGGATTCAAAGAACCAGGCGCATGGAAAGTTTCTTACCTTCACGTGAAAGCCAGTTTTTATTTTTCTGAGAGCAATATCAAAATGCTAAATGGCATTTTATGAGTTAAGACAGTTGAGAGAGAATGTTCTGAAATACTATAGGCTATTGGTCAAGAAATTGTAAGACTCTTCAACTAGCCTACTAAAGAATAATTGTATTGATTATGAGAACAATTGGGAGAGACAATATACAAAGATTTACAAAGTTATACATAGCCTACCGATAAAAGTCATCTACAATATCTATTAGGCCTAAATAGCCCCCTACCCCCTCTCTATCTTCCCCATCCTCCTCCTGCTCTGCCTCTCCTGGGGGTACCCCGCACAAGTGGAAAACGTAGGAAGTTAAACCATGTTGAAGATAACTGACGGGGCAAAATGACTTCTGGAAACTCGTTGTCTATTATAATCAGGAATTGTATTGTTTTACATGAGTCTTCGCCTTGAGTTTCAACCTGGGGTAGACATAACATAGTGAAGGTACATTGGTCTCCCTCTATTGATATGGTAGCCTATGTATTAATTTGTGGATGTCCATCATCCATTTCATACGATATGTTACAAATTACAATTCTAATTATATGTTACGAATTTGCAAAAGGTATGATATGTTAACAAGTCCAATTTGTTGTGGCTGACGTAAGCTAGGTGTCTAGGTTTCTAACACTAACGTTAGCTAAGTGGCAAATTTTAGCTAGGCTAGGGGTTAGGGTTAGGAGTTAAGGTTAGGGTTAAGAGTTAGGTTAAAGGGTTAAGGTTAGGGGGAGGGTTAGCTAACATGCTAAGTAGTTGCAAAGTATCTAAAAAGTAGTAAGTAGTTGCAAAGTTGCCAATTAGCTAAAATTGTCCATGATGACATTCGTTGGCGTTATACATCCTCCACCCCAATCTTCTGTCTTATATAACCATACCAACCGTAACATAGCATACTAATTTGAGTGTCCCGGATTTACATTTACTGGCAGTTTAAATATGATGAAGGAATCAGCCTGGCATCTTTATGTTAGGTGTATGTAATATTATGAAGGCTATCGTTGCCTGCGGAGGGCCCTGTCCAAGTCGCATCTGACAAGGCTCACTTACTCTGCGCCAGCGCAATGACTGCATGACATTTAATAAATGAGATCACTGAGAGTTCATTTTAGGGAGAGAGACAAACAAAACCACATGAAGAGAAAAGGAGAGAAATAACATCTCCAAAGCATTCCTTTCAGTAAAGTGACTAATATGATATGATGAGCTCAAAGACAATCTTAATCTAAAGCGAGTTTATGTAGTGTTCTGAGACTGAATCGTCCTGTATTGAACATTGAGGAATGACTGAAAGTCGAATGGTGCTCTCCAAAATACCAGTGAATAGATTTTAGCACCACCACATAAAAGACAGCATCTGCCATGACGGGCAAAGGAAAACATTGTTGTGCAAATCAGCCTAAAATGCATAAAGTATCACTTAGATGAGATGTGAGACTAGATTCTGTTTTCACATCACTACACTTCAGTATAAGCACAAGTGGGACTTACAAAACCTCCAGCAGCTGTTTTATTCAACCCAACACTATTAGAAAAAAGGGTTCCAAAAGGGTTCTTCGGCTGTCCCCATAGGAGATCCCTTTTTGGTTCCAGATAGAACTCTTTTGGGTTCCATTTAGAACCCTCTGTGGAAAGGTTTCTACATGGAACTCAAAAGGGTTCTACCTGGAACCAAAACGGTTCTTCAAAGGGTTCTCCTATGGGGACAGCTGAATAACCCTTTTAGGTTATAGATAGGACCTTTTTTTTCTAAGAGTGAACTAGCAAGGCAGCCACAGCTTTGCCCTGAATGGAAATCTGTCCCAAAGTTCCATTTATTAAGATTAAGTTCAAAATGTGTTAGTTTGAAGTTCTGCATTACTTACTAATCTTGTGAGATGTTCTGCTTTGGGTGTACAAAAAGGTATTGAAACCAGGTGGAGTGGAGAAGGTGGGAAGATTCAGGGAAAGCAACACTGAGACTTTCACTAGCTAAAACAACATTTCACCAGAGAAATCTCGCTGCACTGTTTACTGCAAAAACAACACCCACCCACACGAAGAAGCTCTTTTACAGACTTCATTTCCATAACCAACACACACACACAAACACAAGATCTCACGGTTTGACCAATTGTACTTCAGATTCTGATGTTTATCCACATTTATCCAAATGTCAAATGTCAAAGTTGCTCCAAACGTCAAATTTCAAAGGGGCGATACCTGCGAACATAAGCAAGCATTTAAAGTTAAATGGGTTCTCACGCACAAAATGTGTATCAGCCAAGGAAAAGCGTTGATTTACTTGCATGTGACAGAGTGCTAAATTGGAGCTGGTCCCATCAGATAACATGGTACAAGTTAGCCCTATGTTAACTTCAACAGGTGGCACTGATTATATCCTGGCACAAGTGCATCAGCCAATTAAAATTGTCAAAGTAATTGGACGTGTTCCAACACTTGTTCATGAATGGACGTGTCCTTAACATAGTCCAACAGCATGTTCTGATCATCAAAGCAACTATCACGTGTATTTGAATGACTGGTCAGATTTATCTTTGTGTAAAGTGCCTAGTCCACGGAATTGTCGCAGATTGTGGCAAGGATTCGAATCTCACGTGAGTCGTCCCCCCCCCCTTTTGAAATGTTGTTTTACATGTATTGTGTTAGTGTGCAGTGCTTGACTTGGACTAAAATAGGTGCCGGTACTCATTTTGTGTGCCGGTACTGTTTATATTTCGGTGCAGGAACTGTACAGTACTTTTGAGCTAATATTTTACAAGAGGTGCAGGAAGATTATGAATCTAATAAGGAGATACCTCTTTCTTTAGCCTTGCACACAAACACACTGCTATTGCCTAATAATAATATTTCATAGGGCTATATTCCATGGACGTGTACACCTAAATGTAGGGCTACAACATTTTATAGGCTATGCATTATTATAATCATCCACTTCGTCGCATCAAGAACCGGCAGTGATTAATTTTTTCCTCAGTAAAGAAACCCACGGTTAAAGTGCACTATCGATTACGAATCAACTGCTTTAGCAGTGTGTGCCACCGAGAAGCAATGATAACAATGATAGTCTACATGACTGCTATTTGACAAATCCATAAGGCTCTTCATTTTTCTTTTACGATATATGATAAACGTACATGTCGTAAGGACCTCATTTATATGTTTCCCATAAAAGCACATGGATGTGTGTGAAACTGATATACAAAAACCTGGGATTTTGTCATATATACAAGAACCCATTTAACGTAAATGCTTGGTTATGTTCGCAAGTATGGCCCCCAAGTGTTTTGGATAGGGTTAAAACAAAAACACCTACACTGTTATGTTTAGGCATTAATTCTGAATGGTTAAGTTAAGGGTTAAGTTTTGAGATAGGATTAAAATGAAGAAATGAAAATACCACTGGGATTGAACACACAACCCTTGAAGCCAGAGCTCGCAGCATACTTCCATCCGCCATTCCTGTCTACAACACCCTAGCAAAACCCAAGCCTACTTGATGGTAATAGCGCTCAACGTCCTCGGGACATGGATGTACAGTACATCCAAATTTGAAGTCAATCATGAGCGACCTGGCAACACACACACACGCACACATGCAGTGAGGCAGCAGGTGAACTGCCAGGCCCAGGTTAGCGCATCGGGACTGGAGGATGGCATCTAGTGACAGCCTCCCCTGGAGGGCCCTCCTGTCAGACGCCACATGTTGCCGTTCGCGTTGCGTCACACCGCCCACCGCCTGAGGTGCTCTCTTTCCCCACATCACAGAGCAGGACTGGCAGAAATAAACAGTTATTTGTGTGTATGACAGAGAGAGAGAGAGAGAGAGAGAGAGAGAGAGAGAGCGTAAAAGAGGCACGCCAAGTTGTGGTGGGGGTGTCGCAGTGACAGACTAGTCATCCATGAGCGTCAGGGTGATCATGAAATTTGTCGGAGAGGAGTGAAGGGGAGCGAGGCGCATTAGAGCTGCCACGGTTTTACATGCCACACTGGTTGCGCAAGACAAGGAGACAAACTGACTGGAGACCAGTTGTGTCTGTGGCAGAGAGAGCATCATGCATGAGCTGGTCTGTCTGGGCGTAAAATGGGCTTGTCTGTTCTGACACACTAAATCTATTTACAGAACATGAAGACATTTAGGGTCATTATTCAAAGATCACCATGGGGACAAACTCATGCAGCAAATT